CGATTTAAACTTTAAAACAAGTGCTTCAATGTATAAAAGTTCTAGCGGAACATACTCAGTATATTTTCAGAACTTCCAGAACACACTAATGCAGTGCAAGCACCTCCGTTGCAATTAGTTTATACATCGAGCATATACTTCAATGCTGACATTAATATTTGTGCATTTTATGTGCATATAAATAAAATATGGGAAACGTGTATGAAGGAAAATCTGTGATTTTCAATAAAGAATTTAAAATTGGATTTCTAAGAAACTTTGAGATTTTTTCTCTCGATTCTATAATTGGAAAATATTGTTTTGAATTTTCATCACAAAATTCAATTTACTCAATAAATAAACTTCAAAGCTTTTTAAATTCAAAATAAAGGAAACAAAATTAAAATTTTACAAGTTTTAATTGAATTCAAAATCTCTCAAATAATATTGAATTAAAATAATCCGCATGATGGTGCTTCCTTAATGAAAGCAAAAATATCGAGGTATTATAACACGATGGAATCACATCAAATTAATTTAGAAAGTGATAATAATAGAATTATTTTAATCAATAATTACAGAACCTTCACGCAAATTTAAACGTCGAACAATATTCATTGCCTGTTTGTTAAAATTGAAACCCCGAAAGCCTTAAATTATGACAAAGTCATGTAAGAAATTTCCACATCATAAGCTCTTTACATAAGCATCTTTTGAGGTATTAAACATATTAAAATTGATACAATGAAAGCAAGTGTATTTCATAAAAAACATTTAACATAATAAGTCCATTGACAATTGAAAAATTAATTAAATGTGAATTATCAACGTTCATAATCTCCGCTTTATGAAATTTCATAATTAAAAGTATGACCAAAAATTATGGAATTATCTTTATTTTCAGCAGCATATCCATTATGAATTCAAAAAGTTTAATTGATTCAGATTTTTTTTTGTAACATTGAAGATTTTGGTTTGAATTTTATTACAATAATTTACAATAATTTTGAAAATATTAAGGGAATTTGAACTGTCGACTCTTCATTATCGCTTATAAATTTTCCCACCTTCATAATATTTGGATATAATTTTACTTTCATCTCGCATCACGAACCGCAACATGTGATTTAATTCAATTGTCATGTGATTATTTATTTTTAACTTGATACTGTTTTGGTTTTAATAATCATGATTGAAGCCATTAAATCATATTTCGAGTCGTAATTAATATTTTTTTTTTATGATAATGCGTAGAAATTAATTTATTACGCCACGCAGTTACTCATCAAAATATATTATCTCTAAATTTGTTTTATTATGGCTATAAAATTTATTATTGACTAAATCGATGGTTATAATAATCAAAATTGGATAGACTCGATTAGAATCATTATTGGAACAAACCTCACAATCATTTGACAAAACTTTTATTCTTTTAGATTCTTGCTTTTCTTATAAAACGCTGAAAATGAATCAAATATCAAAATGATCAACAAGTTCTCATACAAAATCTACTATATTCATTATCAAGGTTAAACCTTAAACATCGTCATTAATTCCATTCCTGTAGAGCTCTTCAGCAAACAACTTAAATGTTAGGCTTCTGTATTGCGGTTTTAATTACCTTCATTGCGGTATAAAAAAGCATGTGCTTTACAATGTAGTATGAGGATATATTTATTCACACAGTAAATATTTTATTGCTTTTAAAAAACAATTGAATTTAATTAAATATGCAGCGACATTTTTATGCAGATATTTTACATACATGCACGACAATAAATGGGAAATTGTTTTACAAGCTCAAACTATTTCCTTCATTCACCTCACATAAATATTTCAGATTATTGCTCGGTATAGTTAACAACAACATACATTCTATAAATTTAGGATATGAGAATTTCATTCAAAGGAATTGCTTCCATACCTCAAGCTTCGGTTGCATCACTTTTTATCATGTATATAAATATTCTTTATAAATTCCTCGATTTATTGCTATGGTTCCTTTTAAAACTATTTAAAGCTAATACAGAATTTGTTTCTGTTTCTTAACATTGCTGAACTGCTGCAAGAAATATTAATTAACTTTTCATTCATGTGCAGAAATTCAACCTTTATTTTGTTTATTCAATGGCAGTAATATGCACCTTAATGTTCCTATTCTCTCTCTCTTTTGTATGAGGATTTTAGTCATTTTATGGAAAATTGCTCTTTGTCAGAGTTCTAATTGTGTAAGTTTTTAAAGCTGTTTTTTTAAATCAAAAAAGAAAACAAGTAAATAAATGGGAAAGCTGAACAAGTACTTAGTCAAAACGGATCTGTAAATTCAATTAATTCATTGATGAATCCGTTTTTCTATGTTTTTCGCGTTTTTCGAGAGATGCATCAATATTGTATTTACCATGAAGCATCTCTGTCGCTCGAAATACGATTTTCAAATATCTATTGAAATATAGGGGTCGTACACTTATGACGTCCGAAAATAATGGTCATTTTTCAAAAAAGAACAATGGATTTCCAGGAATTTCTATTGTTCTTTTCTCGCTAAACCCCCCCCCCCCCCCTGGACGTCATAAGTGAACGGCACCATACACCAACAAAAAAAAAATAAATAGTGCCTGAAGCAAAAAAATATCGAACTTCTCGTGCACAAAGCATAAATGAGAAAAATTTGGAAGCAAATAGCAGTACACATTTGTGGAGTATGTTTGCAGCAATATGTAAAAACTATTATTTCTAGTTTTGTAACAAAAAACAGTCAACTCAGGAAAACGGAAAATTAAGCATATCTTCATCAACTCATACTTTTACATCACATGCGCTGATTCTATTGCCGCTGTTTCATTGCAAAAAAATTATTAATGTAAAAATTATAACCTAATGTTTTTTGCTACTTTTAAAGCTTCTTTTAAGTATTTTTCATGAGAGTAAATGGAAAAACAACTTGTGCCTGTTAGTCACTGCTGTATTAAATGCAGATTATTTACTCATTCTTGTTTTCAAAGAAATGAACAGATCTGAAGCTTCTGAATATACAAAATTGTTAGAACTTAACTTTAAGATTTAAAGAACTTCAAAATGAATATTAAGCAAAAAACGTAAACTTTGCAATAGGTGCAGTTTGCTCTTTAATGACTAACCGGCACTAAGCTTTTGTTGGATCTTTCGAAGGTTGGCAGAACGTTCACTTAAATTTGTAATCTTTTCTGAACATTTACTTTAGGTTTTTCATCGTAGATGAGTCTTCAATTTTGAGCATCAAATAGAAGTCCTGCGAGGTACATTTCAAACAAACAACAAATTGATTATTATTCATCAAAATAACAATATTTTAAATGCTTTATGCTTCATCAAATTTTTGACGATAAACGATTCTTTAGGCATTTCTGTATTCAAAATTTTTGGAAATTTAATTCGTCTTCACAAAGTCAGATGATATCTTTGGAGATTTATAACAAATTGATTTACTCAACATAGCTTTGAAGAGGATATGTTTACAATGTAAAATGCTTTTTAAATGCTTGAAAGCGCTTGTTGAATAAGCAATGAATTTTGAAGTACAAGTCAAATTTTTGAGTGCTTTTAAGTTGAGATGTTTACAAGGATTAAATTTAACACTTTTTGATATGATAATGTATTCTTCTTTAAAATGTCGTAATGTGAATAGGAAGTGAATATAATAATTGTTGGTAAAGCTTTTTATTCTCGACTCGAGAATTAGTCGAGACCAAGAAATCGAAAGTCTCAAGATGTACGCGTTTAAATTTAGATTTGGATTTTATATTTTTCAGAAATTTTTTGTTAAACTTCATCAGATACTTTCTGGTGCTCAAATCCTTGTTTAATCTAAAGAAGATCTTATGACATTGTGTAGGATGATATTTTGAGTAGGAATAAGAGGTAAAAATCAGATTCCTTTTTGCCAAAAATATTTGTTTTCTGTGAATCTTGTCCTTTACTTTAGTTCGTGCATAGTAATAGATCAACGAATCAGTATATTTGAGTACTAGAGTACCACCCTCAGACAATTTCCTCACATTCCTCTCCTAATCATTATATTCGTACAAAAAGCACGTCTTTAAGTAGATTTTTGTATAAAAAATTAATCTAGAATCTAGTTGAAGAAGTTCATTTAAAGTTATCGAAAAGAAGAAAGCAGAAAAGACGTTTTTAAGTCGTTGGCTGTCAACTGACTCAGAAATTGTTCAAGTTTACTTAAATCTTATCATGCAACCAACATATTTCATATTATTCATTCCAACTTTCTTGCAAACTACGCGATTTAGTACTCAACTAAGCATTTCATTAGAAAATATAGACTCCGATTAACCACAATCGATTCTAAAAGCCTTTATTTATTTACATAAGAAAATCGATTTTATTCTCCTTGATTCCGTTTCAATTGATTTGATTTTGATTTATAATAAACAAACATGAAGAAATATTTATATGCAGAATATCAAGCTATTACGAGAAATTGAATCAAAACACGAATACAGATAAAGATACCCAAAAAAAAATTGAATCCTATCATAACATGCTAAATGGGAATTGAAGTGAAATAGGAATGTAGAAAATGAAAAAGTTTTCTATGACCATACCACCACCTGTTGATTCTCGTTTGCTGATGTTCTATGCATGTATATAGAAAACAAATTGTGTAGCTTGTTAAACACATCCTTTCTGTTGCTTCTATTACCAAATGAATTTGTTTGCGTTGACAAAATAATTTTATTAAATTGAGAAAGTTCTTTGGCAAATTTGATTAGGATTTTGCATATATATATATCCTTTCTGGTTGTCTTACGTAATTAGGAAAATTTCTTAATTAATTTGAGTGTTGCTTTTGAAAACGATTGGTTTCGTTAAAATGGCTCATCATGCTTCGATTGAAAATGGGTATTTTACATTTTGCAAATAAATTTTTAAAATGGCTGCGCTTGATTATTTCAATATTTATATAGCCTGTATCTGGAAAAGGCAGATAAATAAAGAGAGAGAGAGTAAATGTAACAACATAATTCAGACGTCCAACAGTTTGTTTATTCACAGTAATCACAAACATTCACTCACATAACATTAAAATGTAAACTTTTTTATTTTATCCTTTCGAATATCGCTTCCAGAACTTTTTGACGTCCTCATGTCCCGACTTTTTAACAACCATTGTTCTCGACCGTTCGCTTTGCCATAAAAGTACATCAATTGATTGCGCATAGTCTCGTAATGTCAAATAATCTGCTTCAGATAGAAATTGATTGTAAACAACACCGTCAGTGAATGTAAAGCGATTTCGTTCATTTTCCCATAACTTTATCTGGTCAATAACCGTTGGCGGTAGCACGGATGATGTTTTAAATGCTGAGGCGGCAGCATTCGATATCATCTGTTAAAAGTTTGATAAATTGACAACATTTATAGTCTATTCTTTATTGTTTCAAATATTCATACTAACTTTTGGATGTGCATGTTGCTCTAGATAGCTAATAATTTGTCGTGCTGTTATGCCACCTCGCAGGGCTTGTCGTATCGAGTCACGAGTAATTACGCCAACTGTCACATTTGGAAATCGATACAAAAGCTCAGTGAAGAGTGCGAGCAACGAAATTTGTAATTTTGAATCGGAATAAGCATAAATACGATAATTTGTTTCGACAATGATGTAACCCTCGTAATTACTTTCATCACTTAACTGCATCTTACTATTATTTGTGCTATTATTTTCAATGACATTCTCTGGTGCGATGGCATTTTTAGTCGTGAAATTTAGTGCCAAACGAGTCGGAAAAAATCTCTTCTCCTTTCTCTGATGCCATTCACGTAACAAAAAATGAAACAAGACAAGAAATGGGTTAGAAAAATGTTTCTACGCTCAATTAAATCCTTTTTAGAAGCAAAAGATGTCAAGTTACGCTATTTTTAACTTGTACTAAATACAACGAATTTTTGAAATTTGAAATTTGTACTAAATTTTTGCAGCAAGAATAATTTTAAATAAAAAATTTCCGTTACAAAATAAAAAAGAAAACAGCTCAGCATGCTGACAAATCAGTCAATAAAAAATAATGTCGTATGTCAAGATGTAACGAAGAAAATTGAAATGGGAAAAATGCTGAGTAAATTGTTTTCAATCTTTCTGCTCAATAAATGTTAAATGAATGAATGCTGAACAATGTAATACTTACAGTGCGCTGATAGACTAATCCAAATTCACGCAGATGTTGCATAAAGGTTAACATATTTTCACTCAATCCCTCCGAGCTGTAATCACGTCCCAGTGTCGAGAAGCTTAACTCGAAAAGCATCGAAAGGCATTCAACTAGCGATAATCCTCGTTGTTCACATGTATTTAAGTATTGCAGCATAAAGTGCCAGACTTGTGATTGTGTATCCATCAACAGAAATTGAAATCCTTGACTTGTGAGCATGTATGATCCATCTTGTTCATTTCGTACCATCAAATTTGCATGCAAAATTATTCGTACCGCATCAACTGAAATTCCTTCCATTTCTGATCCTTTCGATGCATTTGAATCGACCATATAATGAAGAAGACAATTCCACCGAGACATTGCATACGTATCAAGAAAACTGATGTCTCGACTTTTAGCATCTGACTGTTCTACTGAGTTAAACATCGACCATGAGCGACCTCTAAATGAAGATGGGAATTCATTGTTCATTAAATTGATTTTGCTTGTCTTATTAGATTTTAGATTGAAAGATTGGTATAAATTATAATTTTTGTCCATGACAAAAGCAAGTACATATCTATACATGTCTAACTTACCCTCCCAACCAGGCTATTTTAAGATTTCGCTTGAAAGAAGGATTTAAATCCCATGCTGTCAATCCTCCGCTTATAGACGATTCGGACCAAATCTTTAATTCCGTCAGTGCTTCACATGCTGCAGAATTTTCTCTGTTGGAAACATAATTTTGATAATTTACTTCAATTCATGCTGAATAAAGGATACAAAAAGGAGACAAGACATATACTTTGCATAAACTTGAGATCCCCACGATTGAACAACTGCCTGTGGCACTGGTTGTTCAACGCATAACATTCGCATAACAAACTGCTTTGCAATCGCTGGAATACAGTCTCGAAATACAGCCAAACATATTGCTGGATAATCGTATAATTTCGATATAATTTGTGTCTGAGATTTGAGGTATTCGTGTAGATTTTTACATTCTAATTGTACAACATTACTGGCTGCTGTACTTTTCTTGCTTGACATAACTTTAATCACTTCGTATTAGATAATTTCTTTAACTTTATCTAAAAGTTTGTGAATTTAACATAAATCACGAAATTACTTGAAATTCACTTATGTATTCTCTTAAACTTTATTTTGTAATAATATAACACTTTATTAGCCACACGAATATTTGATTTAATCAAGTTTTAACTTATCGGAAACTGTAGAAAATTTAAATATTCTAGATTTTGAAGAAGAAAATGTGTTGTTTATGTTTTTTGTTGTTGTAATATTTTTGTTATTCACTTTATAGGCTATTTTCAACTTATTCTTGTGTTAATTGATACTTAATACTTTAAATCCACAGATATATCACTTAACATATATTTAAATCAATAGAAAACTTAATTATAGTGCGTAAAATCAATAATTGCCGGCTGAACTGAAAAATCACTGAAATATTTATTTACAAAGAGTTTCTGAACAAACACAAATTTGAAAAAAGTTCGTTACGAATGTGTTCAGAAATTTTTTCAGTGTCGTTTGCAGTTCGACATTATTGGCTAGGTATGATAAGTAGATGAAATAAATGACCACTATTAACCAGCAATTTATCAATTTTCTTCCTTATGAAAGCTTCAATAATCCACCTGACCCAAAAAAAATTTATGTCTCGATTTTTGGTCTCGAAATTACACGCCAATCAATATTGTTCTTCTTAATAAATTGCCACATTACATTCAATTGAACCACATATTCATGAAATATCTGCAGCTATGGTACGAGATTAGCGTAAAAGAAATTGAGATGAAACTTCACGTTACACCATGAATAAAATTCTTGACACGTGGATGATAGAAAATGAAGATTTAGGCTCACATTTTTCATTTCATCACGGATAGCGTGAAGCAGTAACAAATAAGCAGAGATAAAATCAATTCCGAGGGCATTTATCTATGCACAAATATTTGCTCATGAAAAATATTTTTATTCAGCGATGTTGACATTAATAGGCCAATGTTTTTTGGTACGTTTTTGGAACTGCTGATAGGAAGCTGTGATTTATATTTTTAAAATGATTATTTTGTAACTGCATAAATCAAAAAGTTTGCTAAGAATTTAAAGATACCAACTAAGTTGAGATGAAAGAAATAATCAAGAACGTGATGTATTAGAATCAGTGTTGCAAATGTAGATGTTTACACTAGATGAAGAATGTTGATTCTTCAATAGTTTTCGTCTAGCGGAGAAACTTTCTTCATAAAGATCGATTTTACATGAAGATAGAAAATCTTCAATAGAATCGATCTTTATGAAGAAATTTCTGTCTCAGAATTTATCTGATCCAGACAAATCGCCAGAATGCAACACTGATTAGAATTGATGTTAAAGAATCTGTGCAAAATTGAATTTTATATCCGCTTGGTTAGTTGCTTTCTTTCAAAATGAGGCGTTGAGATGATTTGTTTTTTTTTGTGCCTAATTTAGACTATTCTTAAACTTTTATGGTTAAAATCAGCTAGGATGGCTATTTTGAGCTAGTTTCCAAAATTTATTAAGGTTCTAAAACTATTTTAAAGCTCAACTCTTGTTGCTACACCTCTATCAATATTAATTTACCAAATGAGTAAATGTAATGTGCTATGTAAGATAAGGAAGATATGTTTAAAGCACGTGAATGAAAGTTTGTTTCGTAATCACATCAGCTCTCAACTTAAAAGAACTTAGTGTATCCTTTGGTTTGCAATAAAACTGAAATTCTCACTATTATAAAAGAAAATGTGATAATCCACTTTATCATGATACTTTGATGCTTTAAAAAAAAATAAAACTTGTAAAAGTTTTTAATGTTGAAAGCTCTCCACAAAACGAGTGTACAGAACTAAAAACTCTTGGAAGTGAGAAACCAATTTACAAAGTTAAAAGAAGGAAAAGAACTTTTAGCCAACAAATATCTCGTTTCAAATTGCAGCCAATGATGAACTTCTTGTTATATCCTCGGGAGATAGATGTAGTGGCAAAATATCCTCTAATTATATTAGATGGTGCTCTTGTGCTACTTCTCCATCTCTTGGCATTTCAAATAAATTTTTATTTTTAATTTCTTCACGGGGAAGACAATGAAAGAGATCAGAAAACATAAAAAAAGTTTGGCTTAACTTTAGACAAGTCTTAACATCTTGATGAATATTTTGACCGAAAAAAAAAATCTTCATTTAATTTTTCTCTTATTGAACGAAACAGACAAACTTTCTCTCAATTATTTCCTCCTTTTGTGCTCACTGCTGTCCAAACTTTTTAACTTTGTTTTCTTTTTATTCGTGATGAAACAAATGGGAGAGTACTGCTTTGTGGGTCGATGGTGCCGAATATATGAAGAAGAATGAAATATTTTAATCTCATCTGTTCAACAATTCAGAAATAAATTTATCCTTCATTGACATTTAAAGAGATGTAAAACATAAGGAGACAAATATCACCTAAAAACAAATGCTACTGACCTCAAATCAATTTTAATTCTTGTCCGTAATTTATCAGTAGGAATAATTAATTGGGTAAAAGATAAATTGAGTTCAATTTAAAGTGAGATTACTCAATGAGTATTTTATCTGTCAGATTGACTGTTAAGCTTCCTTCCCCTATCTGTTCACTAATTGCTTCTATTTCTGAGAAATAATATTTTTGTAATTTTCCAATTTCAGTCCAATGTGGGTATGAAAAATCCCACGAAGCTTAACACGTGGATGAATTTTAAATTTCAACAGCATTCGGTTTTAGCGTTCTTACGTTTGTGAATGAAAACCGCAATATGCAGCTTAAACTTAAATCCGATGACATAGTTTGGGTGTCAAAGTAAATTGCGGACAGCTACTTTTATGAAAAAAAGTAATTTTGATACATGAAAAAAATTGGCAAATTGGATTTGAAAAATTGTAGTTCTGACAGCTACAATATTTATATTGCATGGCTTGGTATTTCAGTGCTGGCTATTAAAAAATAATAATTTTTTTAAGAACACCACTGAAGGTTAGTATTATCATGAAAAATATGAAAAAGCTCGATAAACCACACAATCTATTTAGTTCCAATACCAACTATGAAGAACCAGATTATTAAATGGAATAAATCTGTTATTCCCAAGGCGTGGAAATTCAGGATTAATCCTGAAAAATCCCATAAATCCTAAAAAATCTCTAAGCCAATAAACATAAAAATGTGAAATCCCTTTTAAATCCCGAAATTATTCATCAAATGCATCAGGGATTTAAAAAATATTTCACATTTCCATGTTTATTGGCTCAGGGATTTTTTAGGATTTTTGGGATTTTTCAGGATTTATCCTGAATTTATACACCTTGATTATTCCGCTATTTAGATTACGCAGATAAGGGATCATTTAATTGTGACATTCATTATTAAGGGTCTGAGATTTTGTAGCACCTGTAGAGGCCTGAAAATTCCATATTTTGATTGACGTCAGAAGTGAACGATCCATAAGATATCTTGATAGTTTTGTGGTTTTAAGATTGTTCAATTATTTATCAGTGATAAAATAACATTTGATTTAGAGATTAATTTATCAATGGATTATAATTTCAATTACAGACATTTCAATTAAAGTCTTTCCAGAGATAATCATTAATTCCTAGATAAAATAGCATTGAAATAATATTATCACTAGCATTGTACTCAGAACTGAGATAATTATCCAGCAAAAACATTATAATGTTTATTCAAGAGCTTCACATTTCAAATTATTTTCATTATAAATGTAGGATGAAGGATTATTGAATGGAAGAGAACGGGAACAGATAATGCCTTTTGTGCTTTTGTTAACATAACAAATTAAATTCGTTTTCAACACCTGAAAATTTTCACGAGAAACAACAAACGTGTCACAATTTGTATAAAAAAATCTGTCTCTATTTAAAAATCAAATTAGAATTATTGATGAAAAGCATAGAAAATGTCTGTGGTATCTTTATACTTACTGTGGCGTGAAAAATTTATCATTTCCTATCGATACGATAAAAAGAAGTAATTCGACGACGTGCTGAAAATGAAAGCTCATTAAACCTACGATAAGTCCTGATAAAGTTACAATTGATAAGATAAGACACAGAAAATTATGGAATTCACCGCTCTGGAAAATAAAATTGTGAGTGAGGAGGAGAAAGAAACGTGATTTTGACATTTAAGCAAGAAAAGCCGAAATGCGGAAAAAATAACTCTGAAAAGTTTTCCTTCATTCCTTCTTTTTATGTTCAGATGATATATAAATATTATTCTTATTTTCTTTTCATCCTTCCGCCTCATTCAAATTTCGTCTGAACATAATAATTTTTGAGAAAAAAATGACAATTTTGTATCTGCTTTCTTCATTACAAAGAACCTATGGTACGCCAACGAGTCCTTATTTTCGATATTGAATTTTTTTTGGGACCTTATTTTCGAGCATAAGTTCAAATTTTTTTCACACGTTAAATTATTAATGTCTAATATCTCTAATTAATAGTTTAAATATTTGTTTTTCATCATCAAAATGTTAAACGAATCCACTCAAATGTAATGAATCATTACTGATTTACTAAACAATTAGTGCAAGTGAATTAATAACATTTTTATTTCCAATGTAAACAACAAAAAAAATTTATAATATTTTTGAAAAAAAAGCATTTTAAACTAATGTTTGCTGCATTTATCACCGATTAGACGATTAAATTAGTGTTAAAAGACATAGTAGAATGATTTAATTCTGTAATCATAAGTAAATTAAGTCAAAAATTGCGAAAAATTGAAATTTTCATAAAAAAAAGTTTTTCGAAATTGCGAAATTTTGTTCGAAAAACATTCGAAACGAGTTTGAATTTATTTCGAATCAACGTTGACAACGTCTCTTGGCACATAATAGCAAAGAACAAATTTTCTTATTATCGACTTTCTTTTTTTTCGGTCGAGTCACTTTTGAACCATTTTTGATAGGCATTTGTTCATGATGTCTTCACTTTGAGATAGGATAATTACTGTCAAATGAACATCAATATTGTCGATTAAAGGATGTCACTTAA